TATATATATATATATATATATATATATATAATCTCTGCAGTCGAGCAACAAGACACAGAGCCAATAGCATATCATAAAGATCCGCGGATAAGGGGCAGTCATTGCTTTATAATCATCGTGGCATGGTAGTTGAAGGTGAGCAACACACTTCAACTAATATGCCGCGGGAAGAAAGGAATGTTTTGACAAAACGTGGAACCAAACATCTTTAGTCTGTTTTTCACACGCCGATTTTTCTCTGTTTTGTCATTTTCAATGTTTGCAGTATTAAACATGTGAATCTATACAATACTGTACACAACTCTTTCACTGATTCCGGTTGAGGGCCATGTCTTCAAGAGTGTTAGGCTATTAGCACTTCTCATCTTTGGGTCCCTATTCTGGAAGACGTACTGATCCAACATCAGCTAGGCACGCCGTAAGCGATTTCATGTGCTGCCGCCATGTAGAAGGCTGATTACCACGTGGTCTCCTCCAGCCAGGTCCTTGACTAGCGAATAGTGCGCGATGCGGTGGACGCTCAGGTACCATGCGTAGCACGTGACTGAGCCATCTCAACTGGCGCAACAAAACCAGTTTGTTGAAGGGAACACTCGCATACCCCAAGATGCGACGTCGAACCTCATTACTATTAACTTGATGTTGCCAGCAAACACGAGCAATCCTCCTTAAGCAATCTTTATCGAAGGCAGAAGGACAACACATGTCTTCCACGCGAATCGACCAGGATCTGCTCCTATACAACAATACTGTGCGAACTGATGCGCTGTAAACGCGGCCCTTTAGTGAGAATGAGACGTCACGACAATGCCACAAGTGCCTCAGATTGACAAATGCTGATCGAGCTTTAGCGATGCGAAGAGAAAGTTCTTTGTTGATAGTGCCGTCAGCAGAAACACAGCTCCCAAGGTAGACGAAACTATCTACCTGTTCAAGTTGTGCACCTTTGAGAGTGAGTACGGAAGCAGGTGAATTCAATCCTTGAGCAGTACTTTACACTTCGATGGGGCGAAGCTCATGTCATACTTAGATGCTTCAACCACCAAACGATCCGGAATGAGTTGCATACCCTGAAAATCGTCACCAAGTAAGGCGATATCGTCAGCATAATCTAAGTCGGTCGCGCGCTCACCCGGTAGAAGCTCCAGGCCAAAATGTTGGAAACCTTTCTGAGTATTCAACAGAACATTCTCGATTGCGAAGTTGAAGAAGAATGGGGCAGCTCTGTCGCACACCGTTATTGACAATGAACTGCGAGGAAATCTTGTCATAGACCCTCACTCTGCCGGATGTATGAAAGTAAAGTGCTCGTAAGATGGCGGTATACTTCTCTGGCACCTCATTCTTTAGCAAGCCACGCCATAAAGCAAGTCGATCAACGGAGTCAAAAGCGGCACATATATCTAGGAATGCAACGATAGTGGGTCTGTGATAAATTTGATCCATGCGGCCGGGACGGAAACCAGCTTGTTCTTCACGGTAGTATGATTCACGTTCTTGGGATAGTGTCCGAAGCAGAATGGATGCCAATAGCTTGGAGGTAACTGAAATAAGATTGATCCCACTGTGATTTACACATGAAATGCGAGCGCCCTTGAAAATCGGGACAATAAGTGATTCGCTCTAAAAGGAAAGCACTTTCTCTTCATGCCAGATTTTTCGAACATCGCGGTCAGCTGGTTAATGATTGTCACACCGCCGTACTTGAACAACTCCGGAGGAAGTCCATCTGAGCCGGCAGTCTTGAACCGCTTCAAGCGTCGAAACTCGAGGCAGATTTCCGCTTCGCTGGGTGGATTCAGTGGGAGAAGCCAGGGTGGACAACAAGGTGTACTGCATGTACTGATGGATGGTGGACGCCAGTTGAATTGCTAGTGAAAGTGCTTGGCCCAGCGGTCCATACACCTTTTGGTTGGTGATCGTAGACTCATCCAACTCGCAAATGACCTCAATGACACCAGGCTTCCTGAGGCCAGTGGACCGAATGAGTTGGAAAAGCCTTCGAATGTTGCCAGAGAGGGCAGCAGTCTCCATCTCTGAAGCACGCTCAGACCACCGTGTCTCACGATTCTTGCTTAGGTTTTGGTTGAGCAGCCGGTTGGCATAACGACGCCGCTCGTTGCAATCTGATTCCGCCGGGATATCTTTGCGACATTCGAACAGCTCCACAGAACGAGCAGAGATCCAAGCCTTCAAGGGGCGTCTAGTTAGGCCGCATCTTGACTGTCCGGAAATGGTCATCGCCTTCCAGTCCAGTGTTGTTGCACGTCCTGCGGTGGATTGCAACTGAATGCGTGTGCCAATGAAGACTGATAGCTCATCTGGACAGAGAAATCGGTTAATCTGTTTACATCAATCTTACGGTGCTTCGTGCTTCGGGACCCCCAAAAACACAGATTTTCGCGCTGATCAGTGCATGATCTGAGTCAACGAAGGTGGACCAAAAGGACCTGCAATCAAGTACGCTGCCGCGCCGTCTGAAGCTAATTGCAATGGGATCAATTTGAGACCACGGTTGTGTTGAAAAAGGAGGATGCCACGTTCCGGAACGCTTCTTCGTACGCCTGAAGTTAATACTCGAAAGAAATAAATGATTGTCTTCGCACAATGTGAGAAGCCTCTCTCCGTTGTCAGAACGGTTCTCATCGAGCGCGTGATGACTACCAAGGTGGCGTTCGTATGGTAACAGACGGCCAACCTGTGCATTAAAATCCCCAGCAAGGACAACAACATCCGATTTTTTAAGCATTAGTGTAGAGCTGATGTAGATCCCGGTAGAATTCGTCCTTGACCGAGTCACCACTGCAGTCAGTTGGAGCGTACACGGAGATCACAAACAAGTTGCGTCTTTCTTCGCGATGCTTGTCGATTCTACATGAACTTCGAAACCGAACTACACAGTCGGCTGTTAATCTGGAATCAGTCTAGTAGTGCCGCCTCGGTCTTGTCAGTGCTATACCTACACCAGCCAAACCAGCTGAGGCTGCTTCTAGATCTCCAAAAAGACGCGGGTGATACTTGGCTTCGTGGTCAGTTTGGGATGTCAATGTAAGCACAGTGCTGGGATCTTGCAACCGGGTTTCTGAAAGGCAGCAGACATCAATGTCTAGGCAATCTAGGGTACGCGCTAGACCAGCTTATTGTTTATTCTGCATAAGTGTCCGAACGTTAAAGCATGCCAGACGGAACGAGGATCGGGGACGAAAGAGAGCCATAGGTTGAACCTCTTGGTCTGCGGCGCAACCGGAATCGCAGCCAGATTGTTGAACACATGAATCGGGTAAGGAAAAGTGAGGATTGTTAGCAAACAAACAATTGGCGTGTGATGTAGTCGCTTGAATGTGAGAAGCAACTGTAACTGATGAGTACGTTGTAATACAGTCCAGGATTTTGTGAGAGGGCATGATACTACCCGGTCGACCAAGCCGAAGTAGGGAGTTGACTTAGGGGACTCCACCCCGAGCCTTTGGCTAAATAACCTACCCGCAAGGCAGCGGGGCGAATTTAGGGACTCGCGCCCATTGGGAGGCGCTGACTGAATGTTCATTCCATGCATCTTTGTTTGTTTGTTTGTTTGTATATATATATATATATATATATATATATATATATATATATATTTGGCGGTCCCAGTTTCCGGATTTGCTTTTGCCTATGGCTGCGAACAGCCACAGGATGCCTGCGTGGGTTTGCGCTGCAACACTCACATATTCGATGTAAATCCGAAGGATTAAGACTGAGTGGTATGTTGCTGGGAGCCGGCCAACACTCCTTCCTCATGCACATCATTCATTTAACAGTGGGAAGAATGCATACTAGACGTGCACAGGGTGGTGGCTGGGACATAGCCCATGACATACTGGGTGGAACCAAACAGCCTAAAACTGTCCCGAAGACTGCGCGCCCCGTCTCCTCCCAGCAACGATCAACAGTCTTCTGGAGCCTCTAATGGAGGTGGCGGTTCACGGCAGATGCTCATCTCGGCAGCATTCGCATCCATCGCAGCCACACTGGGCTATCGATCAACAAACGCTGTCAGACTTGTATGAACACAGACAGGTGCATTTACAAACTAACTTTTCTTAGTCGATTAACCTTAATCGAACGGTATTAATTTTCCACAGAGTGAATCAAACAATTGCCCTGAACATAACGGCCAGTCATTCCATCTCTATCTTTTAATGCACATTAGCGTTGTTGGCGAGATAACACATGCTGGTTTTCGTCACGTCGACTGTGACTTCTCTGTTCGTAGTCTCTGTGCTATGTGTTGCTTTTTTACCCCATCACTTCGTTTCTAGTTTGCTCTACGCATTTCTTCCAAAGTGAGAACCCTAACTGGCTCTGCAGCTTTCACAAAGTTGCAGCTGATAGCGTGTGTGTCTTCTTGATTTCACCCTTACTGTCAGTCCCGTCTTGGCTTATGCCATGTCCACAGCGACTTCGGTCTTTTTCATTCCTCCCTCTTGTCATTCTACCCGGTCGTACTTTCTCCGTTCTCACTGTTCTGTTCTGTTCCCTTGATACTGCAGTGATTTCCACCACATGACGTCTATTGCTTTATGTCGCATTGGTTGGGACAAATAAAAGTAATCGTGTCATCCAATCACGGTGTCTTAACCTCTCTGCGCGACACACTGTTCTATCAGTGGGTGCAACTCATGCAAACGTTCTGTTATTCCGCTAACTTCTTGCTTCTCATTTGCCATCTTTTTGAAACGGTGATCCAACATGCATCCTAACTTGCTCTTCAACATTTCTCTGTTGTGTGTTAAAATCTTACACCGGCCTCCTTTCCTCCGTTTCTCCACTCGACGTCCCAGATCTCGCATATGGATTGAATTTCCAGGTGCACTAGCATGTCTCGTGGCCTTCTTCATGAAATTGTTATCCTTCCTTATGCAACAAAGCGCCAGTGAAAGGTTATCATTTTCACATCCACCTTTTTGCCAAACGCTTTCTCGACCGCGATCCCCCCTCGTTTTTCTCATTTTTACCAGCCTGTTACGTGCTACTCACAAGAGAGACATCTACAGGAATCTACCCCATCGACATCATTACTCTCCTCAAACTTTCACAATCCACCCTGTTCAAGCAACTCAGTTTCGTTGTCCACGCTGACTCAGAGCTGCTACACAGTCGCCGTCCGCTCTCCGAGACCCTTTGCGCGTTGCGATAATAGCTGCAATTTGGTTGGTTCCAGTGGAATCCGCTTCACACCTGCCTGTGTCCCTGTGCTCCCTGATGAGCAAATTCAATCGGCCGACGTTATTGTCACCCTGATGGACGAAGACGGTGTAATATTTTGTCACAACTGGTGAGTTTACTGATTACTGTTTCGAAGCAGCATGTAGAGCTTTCTCTGTGTAGCGGCATCAATGGTCGCTTATGGACATGTACCCGTTATGTTGTGTTCCGCTCTATATATTTTGCTTCGGCAAAGTGTTTGTCAAGGAACTTTTTAGATTCTGACACTGAGTTTGCCTCTACTACGTGCTGCGGTAGATCGTTCCACACATTCACCACTCTGCGTTCGAAACAGAGTTGGTGAGCGACCCGCTTCAAATCCAGTACAACAAGCTTATACCGGTGTCCTCGTATGCTGTTTGGTTTGCGCAGATGAAGCAGTGATCTCAACATAGGGTAATAACCCAGATGTAATATCCGGTGCGTCATGATAAGGTCAACCCTCAGTCGACGATAAGCTAGGGTGTAAAGCCCTAGTTTCTTACACCGGCCTTCGTACAGCACACCTCGTAAGTTGGGAGTCAGCCTGGTGGATACATGCTGCACTCGATCAAGCTTTTCTACCTCGCCCCGGGTGATAGGACAATACGCGGAGAGCCATACTCTAGCATTGGTCGTATTATTGAGACCAAGAGGCGAGTGGCAATCTCTTCGGGCCAAGTGCTGAAGCTGCGCCTGAGTGCCCAAAGCATCCGAAGGCTGTTTTGGTACAGCCTATTCGTGTGGTCCATGGACTTTAGGTCGTATCTTGAGAGTACACCGAGGTCCCGCACGAAAGGCGCCGGATGCAACGGTTGACCAGGCACCGTGTAGGTTCGGCTGTGCTCACACTTACCCAGCCTCATGAAGTCGGACTTGACCGGGTTGATTGGGAGGTTGACCTCTGCAGACCACGTGGAGAAGCGGTCGAGGTCCTACTGAAGCCAATCACAATCACTGGGTGTTTGGGTTACTCTCCACACCTTCAAGTCATCTGCGAACGACGCACAAGGAGATTGGAGTAGCTGAGGCATATCGTTTACATGGATCAGAAACAAAATCGGCCCCAGTACGGTGCCTTGGGGCACGCCGCTGCTCGATGGATACCAGTCGGTTAAATGGTTGTCAACAGTCACTCGCAAAAACCGTTTGATCCATCCCTGTCAACTTTGCAAACTGACACCACGCGATCCGTTGTCGCATGTCATTGCTTTTTATCCTGTCTCATTGCTCATGCGTTACCACTTCAAAACGGCCACAGGCGAGTGGCCTTTCAACGGATTTCTTCACAACCTACCTCATAGTGGAGACTTTGTTACGCTACCTTACGTCAGCGCACATGTTTCTTGAGTCTTCAGAGGGTTTGTGGTGCAAAGTAACTGTACTTTCCGTTGTTATTCATTAGGGCATCTTTTGACAACAAACCTCACTGTGACCTTTGCATCTTATGTTATGGGGCCCTTGATCTGGATAAAACGACCCCCGACATAAACCAGACCCCTATGTCCATTTCGGCTCTCAGCCTTAGGTACAAGACAGTGATCTTGTGTACGACTGTGAAGGAAGTGACTAAAAGACTTGCGTAGGCTGGGGCGTCACTTTCCAATTTAGGAGTCTGCGATTGTGCCATATCAGTTTATTTGGTACCGTCGGGCATTGTGCGGTCACACAGTCAGTGGCTGTCTTGCATTTAATTTCTTACCTTCAACTGCTATTGCTCCATCTCAATTAGTTCTAACAGCTTCTTATGTGTTCTAGTTGTGTTTCTTATCTCTTCTGTCTGACTAGTATGCTTGTGGTACCAAAAGATCCTATGTGCTCTACTTTTTAGCGTGCACACGAATCAAGCATCGTTTTCAACAAACCTGAACCATCTCCGATTCACTCGCTGGTCAGATTATGTTCTCGAATCGGACAAGGATATCTGGGATGATCATTTTAAACGAGGTATACTTATATCTTTTGATGCTTTGTTTTTGTTCACCATCTTACGAGTATCCCGTCAATGCAGGATCCGTCGCGAGACCTGCTTTAGCGCCGACTCAGTTCGCCTCTCCCTGTGTATATCATGTGTTAATACAATGCATAATCCAAACTACTGGAAGCTATGTTCTTTTACGTTCGATTGAGACGCGAGTTGTGCTGGAATAGAAAATATGTCCACTCTTAGAGCCTACTCGTAATGCTGTTGAAAGCGTATTGATTGAACGTGTCCTCAGCCGTAACATCAGTTGTGGCGCGCTGGGTCCTGCCGCAAGGTGTACTTCACGGTTTGCGAACCTTTTACTGTGGTTCCTTCTTTAGAATAAATTCCTGGACTCCTTTCTCGATCTAGGTCAAAGAAACATGCGTTGAGCATCCAAGTTTTTTCCCATTAGTTCAGTTCCTCAGTATCACCGCTGTCTTCGGGAATCATCGTTTCTCGCCGGTGACTTTTAAACACTTCTGTGTTTGTAAGTAGTAGGGTGATTTATTAGGTTTTTGTGTAGATTCGTCACAGTTAGACACAGGCAGCCAGCTACCACACATCCAGGAAAGCGCTAGACGGCCGTTTCGTCCTATTGTGACTCGTCAGTAACGCGCACCCGCCGAATCCTGCCGGATTCGAACCCACGACCTTAGTCTTGCGAGTCAGCGACATGTCACTGAGCCATGAGCGACGGCAGCGGACCGCCGGGACTGATATCTGCCTGTGTCTAACTGCGACGAATCTACACAAAAAAACTAATTAATCTCCCTACTACTTACAAATAATTAGTTGTCGCCATAGCAGCTTACATGCCACCTCGATTGGTGGCGGCTTGCAAAGAAGTCGTTGCTCTGGGGGCCAGCCCTGTCCTCTGCACATTCATAACATGCAAGACAGTGGAGGATGAGCCGCGCTATATCGCAGTTAGATATCAGTCCTGGCTGGCCGCTGCCGTCGCCCATGGCTCAGTGACATGTCGCTGACTCGCAAGGGTAAGCTCGTGGGTTCGAATCCGGCAGAATTCGGCGGGTGCGCGTTACTGACGAATCCCAATAGGACGAAACGGCCGTCTAGCGCTTTCCTGGATGTGTGGCGGCTGTCTGCCTGTGTCTAACTGCGACGTATTTACACAAAAACACTTTTGTGTGTTTGTTAACGCATCAAATTTTAACACTCAATGCTTCCGAATTGTGGATGACTTTGAGAAGCTCCCACTAGTTTGACCGCAGTTTGGAAGATGAGTCCGCTGAAGTGTCGGCTTCAAATACAAATGTAGTAAAAACTAACTGTTATATTCTCGACAAAGCACAATACATCTAAATAGGCATGATCATTATAAAATCAGTATGATCGGCAAATGTGCAATATTAGAAAAAAGCAGTTGCTGCGAAGGGATCTCTTTTAGGTAATTCTCCTCAGGCATTTACAATTATGAGAAAACTTGATATAACACGAGAAGCTATCTAAAGCTGCAGTAGTGAATGGTTTGATCACAGTTCGACGGAAGGTCAACGAGGCAATCGATAGATCAATCAATGCAATCAGGTGGTAAACATCACGCGCTTTCACACCCCAAACACTAAAAGGCAAACATAATAAGAAAGAAATGGTTGGTTTGGCGTCAAAGCTCACAGTTAGTCCTGAACATGGGTAGGTACGGACGGCGTCAATCGTTCCGGCCAAGGCAGCATGAGCGCTTGTACAAGCCTCCTCTGCTTGCATAACTCCGGTTGCAGCAGCGTAATAGCCCTTGCTTCCGAGGTAGCCAACAGGCATTTCCTGAGTCCCTCCCTTTGGGTTACGTTTAGCTACGGCGTAGAGAACTTTGAAAGCGTCATCGGTCCGAACATAATGCCCCAGGTGTTTAAGGACAGAGCTATGTGCATTCTTAACTGTACGGTTCCGTAAAGAGGCGGGACAGTGTTCCGCTATCCCCTTAGCCAGACGCCTGGTCGTGTGTCATCACAGGCGTAGGTGAACTGATACACAACGAAAGATTCGGAACGAGCCGGGAGTCTGTCTTTGAGGCTTTTAGTGATTAACGGAACAGTCTCCGCAAGAAGGTGGACTCTTGCAGCCGGATATGCTTGGTTCACAGCGACGGACAATCTTTTGTTCAGTAACTCGTATGCGATATCTCCTTTGAAGGGAACCGTGGTAAAGAAGCGCAAGCAGCTGAAGGCGTTCTCGAACCGTAACAAATTGTTGAAGTTTGGCGCTAACCTTGCAAATGCGAAAACAGAGATTGGATCCATAAAGGAGTGCATACAACACAATCGGTATCCTAAAACGTATTGAAAATCACTTAGACGCTGTCATGTTCGTCCGGAGGCAAAATCCCTGAAACGGCACGTGTTCAACATCCTGGAAGCTATTCATTCACGAGTTCCCGAGTGGGAATGACTTTGTACACGTTACCAACTGTCTTTGAATGAACTCGATACAGCTGAACTCTCCACTTCTGAAAGCTACATACACGATGTGTGTAACAAAGCTGAGGAGAGGAAGTACACGATGCTGCTGAAAAGCATGGAAGCAAGCGAACCTGAAATGAAATTTCCACAACATCCAGAACGGTACGTTCACAAATTTGCTAACGTACAGTTGAGCATGTTTCAACTGGCTCTCGCACTGGAACCGAAACCTTGTTTGTCGTGGCATAACAGTGGACAGATTTATGTACCAACGCAATTCAAAAGTTTAATGCAACAACTAACTGGTTAGATACCTACTCTTGCCCTCGCAAACGTTTCTTTCAAGAGTAGTCTGGTGCACCTTTCTCATCAGTATTTGAATCACAAGCCATAACTCTCAAAACTGATCACTAATGAGCACCGAAAAGCCGTAAAAGAACTGACATCTAATCCCGAACTTTTGTTCTCTCGGTCAGACAAGGGATCCGGTTGGGTACTGAGGAACAAATCAGACTATATGTTGGAGAAGCATGCTATTTTGTAGGATACGACTAAATTCATTCTTGGCCAGATACAAAAAGATAGCACCGCAAATGACGAAACTAAACTCACTAAGTTGCTGAGAATACTCAATCGCTTGTTCGAGCGTCTAACTCCATGTGGCCCACACTCATTCCGCCTCTCCGGGCTACCAAAAGTGCACAAGCCTAACGTACCAATGCGCCTGATCATCGATATGTCCGGCTCTGCTGTACACGCAGTTGCCAAGTGGCTTGTTGACTTACTCGAATCACTACGTAGAGAACTCTCGGTCCACACTGTGAGTGATACCTCTGATTTTGTTAAACCAGTAGACTTGAATGTGAGGGATAAGTTGATCCTATCTTTCGACGCAGAAACACTCTTTACCAATGTTCCCTTGTGAGAAAATGTTAACTTCATTTGCGAATAGATAACCGAAAACAACATTGAAATCGGTATTCCGGATCAAGGAGTAAGGGAATTAATGGAGACGTAAGCGGAGCTAAAGTTGGGTATCGACTGAGAATTGATCGGCCAGCAATTACCAGTCCGCGTAGAACGAATCGAACTATACCGTCAATATGATAAACCCGTGGAGTGGAACTCACTCACACTTGCTGAAAACTGGACGCACAAAAATGAGCGATCTTGACCAACTAAATTAGCATGTTTCGGCTACCTATAAATACAGTTAACTTATGGTGTAGATAGACTCCCTGTTTACCGAGCCTTGGTCTTCTGTATTCTGTCGGTTGGGTTGGCGCGTGACTGAGAAGTCAGACACTCGCAGTCTCATAGGGCAGCTAGCAACAGTAAACAGTTGTCAGTGTCCGAAAGCAGAGAGAAAGCAGAAGCGTTACAACAGTGGCGACAGGAGTCAGAAGAACCTAAAGATGTCAGTCAGCTTTGAGCAATTGCAGTCTCTGTTGCAGCAACAGCAGGCGCAGTTTGAGAAAGCACAGGCCAAGTGGATCGAAACGCTGACCAAGAATTTGTCACTACAGGCAGGCTGGGTAACAGGAACAAGTGAGCGTTGCCCCTCTGCAGAAACCTTGACCCAGCAAGTTTGTGAGTTCCGTTACGATGCTGATGCCGGTATTACCTTTGAATCGTGGTTCCATAAATATGAAGACCTGTTTCGCGTTGATTTAGCCGGTGCTTCAGAGGACAAGAGAGTACGCCTCCTGCTGCGGAATTCGGGTGCGGTAGAGTACGAAAAGTTTATGAATTTCATCTTGCCGAAAAAGAGCACTGATTTAACATTCGATGAAGCGGTTGCTACTTAGTCCCAGATATTTGGAGAGCAGTCGTCATTATTCAATATCCGATACAAGTACCTGACAATGACCAAGCGAGACGACGAAGACTGGGTTACTTACTCGAGTCGCGTAAATCGTGAGTGTGAACGGTCGCTGTTTCACAAGATGACAGCTGATCAGTACAAGTGCCTTATTTATGTACGTGGTCTTCAAGCAACCAAAGATGCGGATGCCTGAACAAGAGTACTGAGCAGAATTGAACAAAATCCCGAGATCACACTGCAGGAAGTGACGAAGGAATGCCAACAGTTGATGAACTTGAAGCATGATGCTGCGATGATCCAACAGTCATCCATCCAGATTAGCCAGCAGATCATTTGCAGGGTCAGCAGAAGTCCTCAGAAAGAATCGGTTCATGTGAGTTCACCACAGGGAATGGCGCTTTGGTCGAAACTGCCCGTTCCGAAATCACATTTGCAATTGCTGTGGTAAGCGAGGACACGAAGAGTCGTGTTATCTTGCGAAGCGACCAACAATGAGCGGAAGACGGCGTCGAATCCCGGTGCGCTTCCGATGTCACAACGAAGCCAAAACTGTGACGGCGACTTTCTAGGTTGACGGTGTCAGCAGGCGTAAATTTACAATTTTGAAGATCAACGATAAGAAAGTTAAGCTGCAGTTGGATACTGCGTCAGACATCACTTTGATTTGTCGAGACACATGGTGTATGCTGGGACGACCACCGCTTGTCCACACAGACCACACAGCACGAAACGCATCCGG